TCATTAAAAATGGAATTCAATTTGTAATAATCATTTTTAGTTTTTCATAGTAAAACATAATATATAAACTTCTCCCCAGTATATTATTTCATTATTTTTATTTTTTACTAGTTGGCTTATCAGCAATATAATTTTACTAGAGGCCCAGTACACAAAATTCATGCATAGGTGTGGGGGGGTATGTGTCCCTCAGCTCAGCCTGCACCCTTTTCAATCTGGGACCCTTCTCACAATCTAGGACTGTTGGCTCCCAACTGCTCACCTGCCTGCCTGCCTGATTGCCCCTAACCTAAGGTGACCAGACATCCAGCTTTTGGTGGGACAGTCCCGATTTTTAACAATTTGTCCCGTGTCCGTGGCATTTAAAAAAAAAAAAAAAAAAAGTCCCGATTTTTGGAAGATTCTTTTTTAAAACGCTGCAGGACGCAGGACAAATTGTTAAAAATCGGGACTGCCCCGCCAAAAACGGGATGTCTGGTCACCTTACCCTAACTGCTTCTGCCTGCCAGCATGATCATTCCCTAACCACACTCCTGCCAGCCTGGTCGATGCCTAACTATTCCCCTGCTGGCCTGATTGCCCCTAATTGCCTATTCCTGCTGGCCTAATTGCCCCTAATTGCCTATTCCTGCTGGCCTGGTCACCCCAATTGGCCTCCCCTGATGGCCTGGTTGCCCCAAACTGCCCTCCCTTACCAGCCTAGTCACCTCCGACTGTCCTCCCCTGCATGCCTGGTCCCCCCAAACTTCCCTCCCCTACAGGCTGGGTCCCCCCTCAATGGCCCTCCCCTTCAGGCCTGGTTCCTCCCAACTCTTTCCCCTGCAGGCCTGGTCACCCCCAACTGCCTTCCCCTTCAGGCCAACTGCCCTCCCCTGCAGATCTGTTCCTCCCCAACTAACCTCCCCTGCAGGCCTGGTTACCCCCAACTGACCTCCCCTTCAAGCCAACTCCACTCCCCTACAGGTCTGGTGTCCCCCAACTTCTTTCCCCTGCAGGCCTGGTTGCCCCCAACTGTCCTCCCCTGCAGGCCCGGTCCCTCCTAACTGCCCTCTCCTGCATATCTTGTCCTTCCCAACTGCCCTCCTCTGCTGGCCATCTTGTGGTGGTCATCTTGTGTCCACATGGGGGCGGCCAACTTTGACCACATGGGGGCAGCCGTCTTGTGTGTTGAAGTGATGGTCAATTTGCATATTATCCTTTTATTAGATAGGCCTAGTGGCCCAGTGCACAAAATTTGTGCAAGAGTAGTCCTTTGCAGTCCCGGCTGCCTAGGCCCTTGCAGCTCTCCCCACCCCCACTCTACCTCCGCCCCCACTCCCAACTGGTTTTGTCCAGAAGGTCGTTGGAAGGTTGTCCAGACAGTTGTTTCCCTGTTTGGCCATTCTGTCAATTTACATATTATGCTTTTATTATTATAGATATGTCAATTTAGAATTACAATTGTCTCCCTTTCTGATTCTCAGGGCATTTCTTGATTCATTTTAACCACATAGATAGACAATGGGTAGAAGAGAAGATACGTGAGGTCATTTATAAGAATAAACAATACACTGTATATTCACATCTTAACTCAGCCACTTGTAACTACAGTTACTGAACTTCTTGAGGCTTCACTTTTCTTATCTATAAACTGGAAGCAATACTAGTGCTTTTCTTGGAAGGTTTTTGAGAGAATAAAATAAGCCAATATATGTAAAGTGAATCACAGCTTTTGACAAATAGCAAATAATTACTAAATGCTAGTAATATTAGTATTAGAATTACTCTTAGTTTTATCATATGCCATAATCACTAAATGACGGGAAAATTACAATGTTGGTCATTCTTATCTGTATTATAAAATTATATTAAAGTTGCAGCAAGGTATATGATTAAATTCCTCACACACATAGCACAACCAAAAACATCAGTTGCCATTTTTATGTTGTAGTTTTATACTAACTATTCAAAAGCATTTTTTTTTTACCTAAAAAGTTTGACAAATATTGCAATTATAATACAACCTTGTCTTTGAGTTAGGCGTTTAAAACATCTTACTTGTTTTAACAAAAATTGTTTTTTTGCTCCTTTCATATTTCCTTTTACATTTCTTTTTGTCTCATATTTAAAGCTCCTTGCTTTTCTATGAGCTGTTAAGTCCTAATCATTTTTGCTATCACTTTAGGATTCTCATATGTTTTAAGATGATTATTTCTCATTTGCCAACTTCCAGACTCTTTTTCTAATCAAACCTGTCACTATTTGTCTCTCATCATTCATTTCCTTTATCTAAATCAAAGGTTCAGTACAAACTCTTTTTCCTGTTAATTCCTCCTTACCAGTTAACCACCTTGTCCCATTATTTGCTAGATTCATACAATCCTATTTTTTTTAGAGAAAAAAGGAATTATAGAAGATACTGAGTACCTTATAGATAAGATCAGAGCTATAATCATATATAGGAGACTCTTGAAGATGGTGGTGCAGGTAAACTCAGTACTCACTGCCTCCCACAAACACATCAAAATTATAACTAAAATACAGAATGACCATCATTTAGAAATGCCTGAAATCTGGAAGGAGGAGGAGGAGATGGGGGAGAAGGAGGAGGAGGAGGAGGAGGAGAAGGAGGAGGAGGAGGAGGAGGAGGAGGAGGAGGGATAAAAATATGAACAATAAAATAGCAATATACAGAGTGGCCAGATTATTATGATATCTAAATACATAATAATCTGGCCACTCGGTATATATGTCCTATATAACAAAAGGCTAATATGCAAATTGTCCCCTCGACCAGGAGTTCAACCAGCAGGCAGGTTGGCCAACCTCCCATGTCTCCTCCTCCTGGCCAGGCTGGCCATACCCCACCCATGCACAAATTCAGCACCGGGACTCTAAATATATATATATATATATATATATATATATATATATATATATATATATATATTCACACTGAATGGCCAGATTAGTATGCATTCAGATATCATAATAATCTGGCCACTCAGTTACATAGTTATCAAAAATTTAATCTAAAAATAAAAATGAATGAACGAGAATCTAATGAACAAAATAAATTGATGAATAAAATAGTACCAGATGCATGGAAACATGCAACAGACTGATGAATCTGAAAGGAAAGTGGGTGGGCTAGAAGAGATTCACCAAAGAATTTATATGCATTACCTATGGACACAGACAATAGGGTGATGAAGGCCTGGGGTGGGGCAGGAACAAGGTAGAGGGAGGCAATGGGGTGGAAAAGGAAGGCATCTGTAATACTCTCAACAATAAAGATTTAAAAAAATAAACATATAGACTCTATATTTCACATAGACCAGGAGTTGGGAAAAACACCATTAGAAATTCCTAATTTATTCATGTTCATCCAAGTAAGAATACCTTATTGGTAACAAGTATCTCGTGAAAGAGTGAACTTTTATTTATCTACATGTTGTCTCCAAATGAGGACATGATAAGCCTGTAAAATCCTATCTGACTTTTTACTTTCTAATATTCTTGTCATATAAATAAAAACCTTGTCCTCATAGTAGTTTAGGTCCTTTAAAAATAGATATGGCCAAAACCGGTTTGGCTCAGTGGTAGAGCATCGGTCTGGGTTCGATTCTGGTCAAGGGCATGTATGTTGGTTGTGGGCACATCCCTGGTGGGGGTTGTGCAGGAGGTGGCTGGTCGATGTTTCTCTCTCATCTCTTTCTGGCTCTCTATCTCTCTCCCTTCCTCTCTGTAAAAAAATCAATAAAATATATTTTTAAAAATAGATATGGCAGAGACTTATTAAAAGCTTAATACCTCATTATTCCCATTTACTATTCCTGAAATAAAATTAGGAACAAGTTTTGGTCAACAGGATGTGTGTAGAAGTGATGAATATAACCTCTAGCCCTGGCCATAAAATGCATTCTCTCTTTTTCTCCTGCAGTGTGACCTTGGGCAGCTATGAGTTTAAAAAGATAGTTTAATAAAATTAGAAAAGCCTGATCCCCAAGTCACCATTTGGGGAAGAGCTCCCAAGAAGGGCTCTTCAACCTCTATTGGACGATGACACAACCAAGAAAGCCCTGAAATCCCAATAGCTTCTGTATGAAGCTATTGGGATTTCAGGGCTTCTTGTTCAAATGAACTCAGTGAAGGTACATATGCTATAGAGCTTAGCATAGTCTAAATTCGGCCTAATTTAGAAATGGAAGCCACTTCTTTCAAGAAAACAATTTTTTTCTCAGATGGCATAGCTAATTTGTGATTCAGATACTTGTTTAGCAGAAGGCCTCTTTCTTCCAGAAAAGAAAAAAAAATCTAAAGAGGGTTTTGATCAAATACAGTCTGACCAAGTTTCTACCAATTTATTTCCCTGTTTAAAATTGCCCCAAGGCTGCCCTTTGTTTGATATTTGTCTTTCAAAACTGACCCATATAATACAAGGTTTGAAATAATTAAGTGCATGTAAAGTACCATGCATGGTGCTTAATAAAAAATAACCAAACATATTTAACTTTATTTTCCTTTTTTCTTTCTTTTCCTCTGAAGAGTTGTAGTTTATTAAGTGGACAAAACTGTGATGTAGTTTAGGGAAAAGGGGAGGAAGAAAATAAGGCAGAGAAAGAAGAGAAGCTGGGCTGGAGGTCAGAGAATGGGAGGAGAAAGTGAGAATATACTTTATCTCTGCCTTATCCTTACACACACCCTTCCCTTTTCCATTTGGGGCCTTTAAACAAAGAAGGGAAAAGTAGAGCATTTCTAAGAAGGCATTAAGAGATTGACTTATGTTCCTACACAAGTATGTTTATCAACTTTGAAGTAGTTGGAAAAGATGTTAAAATGTGAAAACCAGCCCATTTTAGATATTTATTCGTCTAATATCTACTTTATCTACTGTTCATTTTTGCATAAATGTAATTTTCTTTTAATAAGTTTACTTTGAAAATCATTAAATTTCAATTCTTGTAATTATCTCCAGTGTACACAGTATTTAATTTTAAGAACATGTCTCTGATTCTAACCTTGGTTTCTTTGATTTTCTTTTGGATTGCATCCGTTGTGTAGGGACCCTCCTTCCAGGACTCAAGCTTGCCTCTGACCTGCCCCAAGACCTGCTCAGCTTCTTCCTTAGCTTCCAGCCATTGTGTTGAATCTTTCAACATTTCATTCAACTGTTGCCTCCGGTTCTGAAGGTGTTCCTGTACTTCATCCCACTGATTCTGAATTCTTTCAACTGGAATAAAAGGAAAAATATATAGGATTAAATGCTAGTCTTAAGATATTTTCAATTTAACATCCAAATATCTCACATTCTGTATTACTCATTAAAAATTATTCACTTTGTTATAACTAGGATGATCGATAACTGAATTCCTTATTGGTTTTCAATGGCAAACACGAGTTTCTGTTAAATTATCTCCCTGAAGGTAACCTAGAACACCAATACTATATGTAAAAATGTAAATCTCTTTATTCTCAATCCATAAAACCAAATATGAATAAAATTTTAGAAAGGTTCTTTGGCAGAATACCCCAAACACCTTGCCTTTACCACTTCAGATTCTAAAAGTCTGAGTTCCAATGCCATCATTGGCAGTTCATTCCTTGAAGGTTTTGTATTATCACAAAGACTTCGCTTTGCCATCAAAGTGGTAGGCTAGATGCACCAGGGAACTGACACTTCCCCTCATGCCAATCCACTTCCCAGGAATAGCCTGTAAGCAATGACTGATGGTTGTAGGCATTGGGATATGGATATTTAGCTCTCTTCATGCTAGGATACATAACTGTGAGGCATGTGTTTTTCAATAGTTCCAGAGTTCTCCCAGTGAGATAAAGCTTCACAGTGGTAACCTGCTTGATAATGCACCATCCTTTATTGGCTGTCTTGCCATACTTGTTTCATTTGCTCACTCCCCTACTGATATTTTTCTCAGCTCCCAAATAAATCACTTGCTCTTAAAACTTTTTTCTAGGGCTTTCTTCTGGGTCAACCCAAGAGCAAATGGGCGTTCTGGAAATTTCTTATAACAATATCTAAAAATTCATGCTGATTGTATTTTGTAAGTATGACAGGCTTATACTGAACCTATTTTTTGGTATCATTGAGAATCAAAAATAATGGATGGATTGCCTATATATTATGCTCTGAAATACTCCAATTTAAAATGCTAAAATAAATATGACCAGGCTATTTTTCTTTTTAATAAGGATCATACTATCTTTTCTTTATTCTGGTTTCATAAAATGGAAATAATGGCATATAAAACAAGTAATAAACCGCCATCTACTTTATCCCTTAAGTAAAAAATCTGAAAGACATTCTAGATTCTTTCCTAAGCCTCACTGAATACCGTATTTTATTGGTTACTAATTTCTCTAATATAGAACTGCCCTCTTTCCACATATTACCGCAGCAAAATTCTATTATATTTTTCCTACATGTGTGCAATAGATTCCATGTAGTTCTCCACTTCAAGCCTCAGTTTTTCAATATAATATCTATACTTTAGACAGAGTGATGACTAATATAGACGTCATCACTTCATTCTCTCATTTAAATGCTTAAATGTCTTTTCACCCTCCTCTGGAATATTTAGTTTGATGTACATGTTTTTCTCTGTGATCTGGCCCAAACAGTCTGAGAGGTTTATTTACAAAAGAATAAGTTACAACATAATCAGGGTGTAGGAAAATTACCAAAGATATACAAGAACTAGGCATTGCAGTAGTGGTGCTGTTACTATATCTAGGCACAAGAAATCAGGGGAGGGAGAAGTGGCCAGAAGCCAAGAATTATGAGGAGAAACCACCTTCAGAAGAGCAGTAACCTTTTGTCAAGGGACATAGTCAGCTTGAGGCAACTTCATAGGGAGGCAACTAGGAGAATAAATATCCTGACCTCACTCAACCTGCTCTCTTCAATTTCCAAATAGGGCTCCCCAGTGGCTAAACCAACTGGAAGCCAGAGGGCATGGGAGATCTATGATGACACAGATCAGCCTCCGAGAGTAGACAGCAGGGTAGAGAAGGGCAAAGCCTGGCTATGGGTGAACAAGTAAAATGTATACAGCACAGACTTCACTCATATGTGAAATCTAATCAACAAAATGAACTAACAAGCAAAACAGAGATAGACTCATAGATAGAGAGCAGGCTGACAACTGTTGGGAGGCATTAGGGGTTGGGTGGGGGTGAAAGGATCAAGAAAAAGAGAAAAAAAGAAAAAGCAACTCATGGATATGGATAACAGTGTGAAGATGGCATGATTGAGGGGAGTTGGGGGAGGTGGAGAAGGGTATATGGGGGATAAACGGTGATGGAAGGAGACTTGTCTTGGAAAGGTGAACACACAATATACTATACAGATGATGTATTATAGAATTCCACACCTGAAACCTGGATAATTTTGTTAATCAGTGTCACCCCAATAAATTCAACAAAAAGGGGGAAAAAAGCAGTATTATAAAATTGTGCTTCTTATTTTATCATGTTGGCTCAGTTTTTCTTAATTAACTCTATTGTTGCTTCAAAGTTTTGAGAAGTGATGAGTTAGATAAGTACCTGAGATATTTTGTAAATAACTATCAGGACTATATAAATACTATAAGACTAGTTATTGTGACATGAAATAAAAAATCTGGTATCTAGAAAACTAAGTGGCACTCATTTTTATTGGGTTCATTTCTGTCAAGGTGTTTGTTATGTTGCAAAACCAGTCAATATATTATATTCCAACTTCAGTTAACATGCCAACTTCTGTTTAAATGTCAATCTTTCTTTATAATCTTTGAACACTATTCCTTTTTGTTTGTTTCATTGTTGTTGTTGTCCCACTGTGAATTACCGCATCTGTTATAGTTGAGATGTATAGTTATTGGCTATTCTTCTATTTTATCTTTAGTTTACAAAATAGTGTAAATGCTATTATAAGAAATTGCTTAAAATATAAATAAAAATGCCTTTAAGTGTTCTGAAATATTTTTCTATCATAGAACAACTTAGAACTGATATTATAATTACAATCCATTTTTTCAATTTATAACAGGTTACTTTATTATGTACTAGTGGCCTGGTACATGGATTCATGCACATTTAAAGGAAAATAATTAGAAGAAATATTTTAATATCTTCATTTGCCCTTTCTCTGAAATGGAAGTGTCAGAGCCACTGCTGGTTGCCATCTGCAGGGTATCAACTGGGCAATCAAGCCCCAACTCACACCTGCCTTGGCCTGGTGCTGCCCAGTCACCTGCTTCACCATCCTGCTGTGGTCCCGCTCTTCTTGGGGCCCATCAGGGCTGCAGCACCTCCATTGCCGCCCACTGCCAGCACCACACCGCCAATACTGCATGTCCCTCACCGCCCCCTGGTGGTCAGGACATGTCATAGCAAGTGGCAAAACTCCCAATCTTCCAGTTGAAATCCTGGTCGACCACACACCCGAGGGGACAATTTGCATATTAGGCTTTTGTTATATGACTAGAGGTCTGGTGCATGAAATTCATGCACAAGGGGGTGTGTCCCTCAGCCCAGCCTGCACCCTCTGTAATCTGGGATCCCTACTGGAATCAGGCCTAAACAGGTAGTCAGACATCCCTCTCACAATCCAGGACTGCTGGCTCCCAATTGCTCGTCTGCCTGCTTTCCTGATTGCCCCTAACTGCTTCTGCCTGCCAGCCTAATTACCCCCTAACCACTCCCCTTCCAGCCTGATTGATGCCTAGCTGCTCCCCTGCCAGCCTATTTGCCCCTAACTTCCCTCCCTTGCAGGCCTGGTCTCCTTCCCCCCCCCCCCAACTGCTCTCTCCTACAGGCCAGGTCCTCCCCAATTGCCCTTTCCTGAAGGCCCAGTCATCCTCAATTTCCCTCCTCTGCCGGCTTGGTCACCCCTAACTGTCCTCCCTTGCAGGTTTGATCACCCCCAACTGCTCCCCTTTACAGGCCTGGTCCCTCCCAACTACCCTCCCCTGCTGGCCATCTTGTGGTCACATGGAGGCAGCCATCTTATGTATTAGAGTGATGGTCAATTTGCATATTACTCTTTTATTAATTAGAATAGAGGCCTGGTGCCCAGAAAGGTGTCCCGGATCAGGGTGGGGGTTCCCTTGGGGTGTGGGGTGACCTGGGCATGGGCCCTGTGGTGGTTGGCAGGCCAGCCACATATCCCTGTCAACCCAAGCAGAGGCTTGGGATTTATTTATCTTCTATAATTGAAACTTTTTAGCCTTGAGCGGAGCCAAGCCTCCTGCTTGCTCTGTGGCAGCAGCCATTTGTGTTGGGATTTATTTATCTTCTATAATTGAAACTTTGTAGCATTGAGTGGAGACCTGGGCTGACCAGGATGTGTGGAAAACTTGGCTTCCTCCATTGCCAGGGAAACCCAAGCCTCCTGCTCTCTATGGCTGCAGCCATCTTGGTTGGGCTAATTTCCATACTCATTCCTGATTGGGTGGTGGGAGTGGCTTGTGGGTGTAGCAGTGTGATGGTTAATTTTCATATTATTCTTTTATTAGATAGGATACTTGGCTGTTTTTATTCTTAGCCTATTGACATATACTATCTGTAACTGAAGATAATAAAATTGAATTTGATTCTATTTGGCTTTGCCTAAATCAGCTTTAATTAGTGACAAATTTTTTGGAATGCCTAGTAATTTTTACATAAACATGGTAAGCCATTCATATTCATACCAGTGAATACTTTATAATCCTATTTTCATTTCAGTATTATAGATATAATGTGTATTTTTAAATGACCATCACTTAATATGAATAAGTAGTTTTTCATATTATTTGAGTAGGTAGATATTTCTTAATTGTAGGAAAAGGAGGAAATTTTTATAGTTTAGACCATTATTTCAGACAAACACACAATTTCAATGTCTGTTCAATCTTAGTAATGCAAGTTTTCATCCCAAAGTAGTCATGGATGTGTAAGGTAGCAAGATAAAATAGTTGATTGGGATGTGTACCTCACTAAGGGTGTGCTTTCTCATCTTTGACTTTCAACTGTACATGATAATCAGATAATACTTAATTAGATAAATTTATAGCCTACAGACTTACTCAACAATCCATTAATCCTCTATGTACTGTTACTCATCAATCCATCTATCTTGTCTGTTGGTCACCATTTTATTTAGCATCTACTACATAACAGGCATTATGCTAAGCACTGGGTAAACAAAGAGTCTAAGATCAGCTGCCTTCTGGTTGGTGCCTGTTAGATAGA